GAAGGGGGCAAGCCAGGGCCACGGGTAGGGTATTTTAGGGGGACAAGGCAGTGGAGCCATGGTTCAGCTCTTGGTCTGTGGTCCAGAAGCTGACAGTAGGTTAGTGCCACCCAGCGTGGGCAGGCAGTGAGTAAAGGTCACATTGATGGGTTTCCCTTGCCATGTCTTGGTGTTCAAACACATCAACCCCCCCCAGACAAAATCCAGCCATCACCCCCCCCCGTTCTCGGCCCTCCCACAACCTCCCCTCCCCGGGGTCTGTGCTCCCCTCCTCCAGCCCCTTTGGGGAAGGGAGAGCAGGAGCTGCTCATCTCCAGCCCATGAAGGGGAGCAGGCAAAGCTGCCTTCTTGCTGCAGGCGTTGGGGTTTACCGGAATCGCTGTGCAACGTGGTTTTTCTCCGCAAGGGCTTTGCTGCTGAGAGCTGCCCCCCTCCCCAGCTCTGATCACCCTCACCTGCTCTGGGTGGGATCCCCCATGGAGGACGTACCCCAGGGCATGCACCTCGGGCAGGTCCCCCTCCAGCTCTGCCACCTCCTTTGCTCCCAGCCATGAAGCTCCTTCCCCTGTTGAAATTTCCCTTCCGACATTCATGGTGCCCAGAGCTGAGGCTGATGGAGCAACCCAAGCGTCGCCTGCCCATGAAATGGCAGAGGAAGGACAGAGCCGACGGGCAGATGGGTTTTATTGCTGGGGAATTTTGATAGCCGGTTTCTCTGCACCCAGCGGGGACGTTAGAAGCTTAGAGGAATCTGATTTGCAGTATTTATTTTCTGTTTGAGAAATTACCATAGATTTCTATGCAACTGAAGTGCAGCCCTCGGGTTCCTGGCGGGCTGCCCACGTGGCTTTTGAAGTCGCAAAGCTCTGGACACGCCTGCTTGAAAGCGTTTTACGATGTTCTTCTCGAAGAAAGCTGAGTTCAAAGGAAAGGCTCTTCGGCTGGCGTAAATCAGCTGAGCCCTGCGATGATTGTTCAGAGCTGGCAGGGTTCACGTGGGTCGTGGGCTCGGACCACCCTGCCGGGGCACTGCTCGCGGTGCTCCGCAAGCCCTTATGGATGTGCCAAAGGAAACCGTCGCCTTGCCCGGGCGAGGATGGATGTCCTGCTTTAGGGCCTTTGAAGTCAAGTAGCGGGCTCTCAATGATGGTCATTAGTAGCCAGAGCCCACACGAGCTCGTTTTGTTGGCCGTATTTGAGATTCAGAGGGCCGTCCCCAAGGAGCGAGGGTACCTGTGGATGGGAGAACCCTGAGCTTGTGAACAGGATGAAATTTAGCGCTGCTTCCCAAAGAGGCTCCAGCTCAGCACCACTGGTTTGGCAGAGCTGTTGTGGTTTAGGTGGTCTGATGGTCTGGATCCTGCTCACGAGAGAGACTTTATGCAGATCCCTCCATGGTACCAGGAGCAGGGCTGGGACTATCCCTCTCCGGCCGCAGGTAATGGGACAGTGGGGCAGTCTGAGCGGAGCAGGTGAGCTGTAGGTGACAGATGCAAGAGTTGAGCTGTAAGGACTCGGGGAGTGCAGTGAAGGCAAGAAAACGGTGCCTGAGTTCAGGCCTCAGCGCGCCGGGCATCCCTCGGCAGTGCGTGCCCACGGCTTCGTGCCAGGCTGCTGCTGCTCGCTCCCTGGGCACCGTTTGGGTGGCTGTTCCTCCACCCTAATGATCACGGCTGTAGGACACGCCATGTGTTGCCTCTGGCCCCCGGTTTCTCCTCGTTCTTCCCCCTTACTATCCATCTCTCCCACCTTTCTCTTTCCGCAGCTGCACATCACCAGCCAGACATCCGCCGGGGAGGTGGTGAAGCTGGTGGTGCTCGAGATGAATGACGTCTCCCGCGGCGTGCTGGGTGGCTCGGCCGCCTTCTGCTACGGTGAGGAGCAGCTGGAGCACTTCGGACTGGTGTTCGCCTCCGATGAGAGCGAACGGTGGCTTCCCGATGACTTCTTGCCTCTGTCCCTCCAAACTAGCCGGCCCGAGGGGCGGTTCTACGTCCGGATCAAGGAGACGTCCCCTCTGGTGCTCCAGTACGGGCCAGCGACCACCGTATGAGAGGAGGAGAGCCGGCCGGGCGGCGCGGGGACCTCAGCTTCCAGAGAGCAGACAGCTCGTCTCTGATGCTTCCTTCTTCCACAGACACCCTCTCATCAGGCATCCACGGGGTGGAATGGGATCATACTGGGCTGTGTGTTATTTGTTTGTGTTCTTTTTTTTTTTTTTCTTTTTTTTTTTTTAACCAAAGAGACATCGAGACTCAGTTTTTCTGACTGCAGAAGAGGAGGGTGGAGTGCGGAGACCTCAGAGCTTGGGAGGAATCTCTGCAGGAATGGAATTTTTGAAAGTAAACATTTTTAAAGGGGAAGGGGGGGAGACAGAGAGGAAAAATATTACAAGAAGCAGCAATACCTTTTTTTTTTTTTCTCCTTTTTCTGAAAAGCCTTGTTTGGGATTCACTGAAGGCAAAGCGACAGAGGATTGCTAGGGAGGGTTGTGGTGTCAGTGAGGAGAGAGCGCAAGTCACAAGGACAGCACTGAGAAGGGTGTTTTCCTGTCTGCCCTCCTTTCACCCTACCTGGAGAAACAATTCTTGCACATAGTTCTTGGAACAAAATGATATTATTATTTTTCTCCTGAAAAAAAAATTAATAATAAATGTGCTAAAGACACTGGAGTTGTAGGTGAAGACCCTTTGACTTGTTTTAAAGGCAAAAGGAACCCATGCAGCCAGCCCCACGCACACCCAGATGTGCACACAGCTGTGTTGGTACCACCATTAGAGGTTTGCTCTAGGGCACCTGCTGCACCCCCTGCGCACCCCCCTGGGATTTCCTTTCCTCCTCGGTTGCCGTTTTGTTCTGGTGATTGTGCTTGGCCTCTCTTGTACGTCCTATAGCATGACGTTTTGTTAGCCGCTAGGTCTCTTGTTAACAAGGTTATTTTTCTGATCTCCTGTGGTCCATAGTAAAGATGACTGCTGCTGACTGCGTATCACTCTTTTCCTTCTTGCGGCTTGATGTGTAGCGTTCCTTCATCCCCCAAATTAGTCCTGATTTCAAGGTCTGGGCTGGTCTTTCCCAGGAGTGTTTAATGGGATACTTTCCACTTAGTGGAGGTTTACATTAACACGCAAATCACCTGTGTGGGAGCGAAGTGCAAGTTAAAAATGTTTTTCTGGGCTTCGTTGCTCTGTAAGGCAGTGAAATAAGCTTTGGCATGCAAAGGCAGTCACCTCCACGTGGTGTCGGAAACCCGATGGTTGTAGGGCCCGAGCATCTGCAGTTAAATGCATTAATCTGGTCCCACAGCCTCCACCGCGGGAAGACCACCAGGAGACGAGTGTGGAAGGCAGCGAGAGCTCACAGCTGTATTGCAGCTGGCACAGACGCTTTCAAGCGAGCGGCAGCACGCAAGGTGCGAGGCTGGCCGTCCTTTGCAAGGTGAGGCTTGTGTTGCTGCTGCCCCTTTAGCAGCCACCTTGCTCCCCTTCTCTCTGGGTGGAGGGGTCAGGGCTGGGCAGCAGACCCTCCTCCCCGGGCGTCGGGGTGAAGGCAGGGGTTCTGCGAGCAGCCGCGCGGGGTCTGCCTGCCGACTGCCCTCGCTCCTCAGAGGTTTGTCGTTCCTCGCCGTGCCGCACGCTGTGCGGTGCGGGCAGGAATACATCCCAGCACCAGCCCTTCGCCGCCCCACGTGAAAGCCGCTGGGAAGGGAAGGCTCGTGTGCCAACCCCTCAGCTGGTGCAAATCAACAGCACCGCATTGACGTCAGCGCAGCCACTGCCATGGGGTGTGGAGGCGAGAGGCAAAGGAACGTTTAAAAAGGCACTTCTCCCATCTCCTTTGCCCTTCGCTCATCTCCTGCCTCAAGTTAAAAGCAACCCCACTTTTCCAGGGCAAGGAAGAAGCAGGTCGGTGAGTGTAGAGGTTCCCATGGAGTTTGTCCTTGTTGGGCATCGACATCGCGAAGAGGCAGGAGCTGCAGGGTAGCCCTTCCCTAGCAAGAGCCTGCTCACATCCATCACCTACTGATGCTCAGAGCCTAGGGCAGAGGAGAGGGAAGGCACAACTAGTGGAAAACTTAAGTGGCTTTCTGGAAGTCACAGAGTGAATTCAGTATTAGAGCAGGACTATGTACGGAAAGCTACGTCTGTGTTCCTGATGCTCCTCAGCATGGATCCATGCAACTCTTGCTGCCCTTTTATTTGACCCCAGAGCGGAAAAAGGCCTCCCCTTTTCTTAAGCAATTGTTCTCCCTTCCTAGAAGCCCTGCTCCATCGAGAGGGATGGAACCAGGACCCAAAGCCAGGTGCTGACTCTTTGGCTGGGGCGCACATGGGGCAAGCTCTGCAGCCAGACCCTGCTGGGTTCTGGGTACCCACATTTCTCAGTGCAGAGCCCCTGCCCATGGGAGGGTTTCGCTGGCCATGCAGTGCTTTTCTGCAGGAGTTTCTCTGACCATCTAGCAGGATGCAGGGAACAAAAGCAGTACATAGTTTCATGGGACCTCCTCCCCTTGCCTGGAAGAGGAAGAGGAGAAGAACAGGGACCTGGGTAGAAGCAGAGGTGGATGCAGTCAGAGTAGGCGTTGCATAGCGATTGTGTAGGAAACCCCAACCAGGAGCACTGGGAGGTGTAATGTCCTGATGGTAGCTTCACTCCTCCCCCAAGCACATTTTCAAGCCCATGAGGTGGACTTTACGGACACCTCTGCCCTGCGCTGGTAAATGATGCATGGTAAGTTGGGACTACCATGAGAAGCAGAGCAAAGAGGGCCTGGGTGAAGAAGAGGGGTTTCTGGGGCTGGCTCTGCTGCACAGTGTTTCTTGAAGAATGGCCCTTGCAAGGTCGGTGCATCTTGTCATGTTCTTCTTCTCTCCCTGGGTGGCTTCATGGGCACATCCCCATGTTTTCTTTCCAAACAAGTCTGGAAGCCTTCCGATGCTCTCCTGCCCTTCGCCATGGCCAAGGAGTAGGAGCAGAAAATGTGTAAGCTCTGTATGTGGCACTCTCTAAGGCTATCATCTCAGCGCTAAGGGCTATGGGGAGCCCATGTGGCTGCTTGAACCATCCTGCAGCCATGAGCTGTTTACATGAAGGTTGGTTTTTAATGTTTGAAGGCTATGTCACATGCACTCTTAAACAGGATGGTGTTAGCAGTTAAGACTGGGGTTGAGTGACTCAAGGCCCTAAGGGGCATTGGGGCTCTGAGTTAGGTGGTTCAAGCTTTGCTCTGTGACTTTGTCACCCCCCTAGTGCCTCAGTTGCTCTCTGTTCCCTTCTTCCTCCAACCCAAAGCCATGCATTTGGTAGCAAGTGACCCAGGCAAGTCTGGTATGGGGCAGACAACCTCCGACCAGCTTCAGCATCACTCTCTGAGCAGCCGGCACGGCATGATGAGGTGTGCTGTCAGGCAAGGAGGACCCAGGGCAGTAGTTCTCAGCAGCACAAGGATTAACGGCATTTGACCCGGTAGATCTCCTTGCACTGGTGGCAGAGGTTTGGTGAAGGGCCTTTCTCAGTTGGGACCAGCCCAGCAGTTACTCCAGCATGTGCACAGTGGCACAGGTGATGGAGGAAGATCCCCAGAGCACCTGACTGCAGCCCTGCTCTCTCCTGGGATGGAGAAGTAGTGGAGGTGGAGCTGAAAAAGGCATAATTTTGCTTGTAGCAATCTCTTTTCTCCAGTATTTTAATGAATAAAGCAGGCTAGAATCCAGGACGGGCCCAGAGAGACTGTGCCTGCATAGACCTGTATCACTGGGCACAGACATCACCCTCCCTGCAGTGCCCGTGCCCCAGTACTGCCAGCCACAGGCACTGCCAATATCCAGACCCAAACATCACTGTGCCCATACATGCATGCACCCACCCACATGCCATACACCCACCTGAGCCCAGGTGAACACCTCCAGTGCACACTAAGCATGCCGCCCAGACACCCTGCACACACACCCCATCCCTACTTGGGTGCCGTATACCTACCTACCCTGGACAACCCTGCATCTTGGTGGGTGGAGCATCCTTAAAAAACTCATCTGGGTTAGGGCAGATACAAGCAATGCTTATCTGGGAGGTGGGGGAGAAGCAAAACTCTGGGAGAAATCGAGAGCAGCCCATTGTCCACAAACGGGAACTCAATAGGAAAGCTCGCTATGCCGAGACTGCTCATCTCCTGCTGACCTTAAGCCATCAGCAAACCAAGGGGTTCTGGGGTTTCCTTTCCAGCTGACAGCAGGCAGAGTCTGAGAGCAGCAGTGAGCATCACATGGGGATGCATTTCCTACCTTCCCTGGGAAGCAGGGGCCAGTCTCCTCGGCTGGGACATGTGGCCTCCTCTTTCAGGCACCGTGGAGCACCAAAAGATGACGCTGCAGAACAATTTGTACTTTGGGAGGGTTTTTTCATCTCTTTGTCAACATCACTTCCATCACTAACAGCATTTGAATGCAGATCACTGTATTAGTTTTTACTGTTGGGGGTGGTGAAAGTAAAATATCAACTTATCCAGTCTGGCAACCAAGTCTTCTCCTCCCTCCACTTGGAGGTAGACACAGGTCCAGAAGTTAAAAAAAACTGGCGTACTTCCATGAAGGTTAATGGGAATGTATTAATTTACATCACCAGAAGGGCCATGCCCACATGGTATTTTCCTCACATGGTATGGATTCATAGAAATAAACTTGAATTGTGACACCGAATTTCCTCCCCAAAATCAGAAGCTCGTTGGCATCAGTTCTGAAGCATCTGCATGGCTTTTCTCCCATCCAAAGGGAGTTGCTCAGTTCATCAGGCACAAATCCAGCTTTGCGTTT